GCCTTAGAGTATCAAATGTTGGCAACAAACCACAAGAATATTAGCAGTCCCTGAGACTTGGTTACCAATAGAAATGAGTGAAAGATTAGGAATTAAATAGTTTCATTTTTATTTTTGAACTCGCAGGGACGCAAAGGCCACTCTGGCTTTATTTGTGTGGAAACTTTCTGATGAACCAATGTGTAAAGATAGACAAAATGAAAGAGCATCTCACTGTGTCTGTATTTCAGGATGTGGATTTTTTTTCCTGATAAGAATGTTCAATTTCAGAAAGTTGTCACATTCCTAACTGTAGCTTGGTTATTTTTATAAAACCTCTTCCCAGCAGGCTAAATGAAAAGAAGCTCCATATTATTGGTCAAACTTTAGTAAGCCATGTTAGAATTGGTTTGGGGATGCAAACAGAAGAAATCTATAATGTGTTTCCTTGTCAAATGGCATAGTTCATAATTCTTTTAAAAATTTGAAGCAGTCATTAAGGAACTGGCACTTTTGCCATTCTCCTTTATGTTTTACAATTTGGTAAAACTGAAGGTATTTTTAGACAAAGCCAGTTTGCCTTTATCCTTTTGATTTTGCTTACTTTAAGCATACTGAAAACATCAAAGAATTCTTGTGTTAGTTTTTCAAAATTTGTTTTAATTAGTTATACATGACATATTTTTATCATATACAATGTTGGCTGGGAACAAAAGCTTCTTTCTTTCTTCTTTTCACAGCTGGAGCCTCTACAATGCTGGGTAGCCAGCTAGTTTTGCCACTTTGGTAATAAAAAGAAATCTCCTCACACTGTGACCATTCATTACTTTGATGATAGGCACACATTGACTCTTCAGAGAACTCTAAAATAAATTTTGACATCAGGCCAAAAACAAACAAAACTCTCAGTTCTATCAGAAGTAGTTTTCTAAATCATTACATTTAAAAATTTTAATGGAGAACAAGAAGTCTTGTCTATCACATAGAAAGTTTCCTGGGTTTCAGGAGCCTGAATGAACCTATTTTATTTTTTCCCCACATTTTTTATTGGTGTATTATAGTTGCACATAATGGGGGACTTGTTGTTTTGTATTTATACATGCACACAATAAGAATACATATTCTTTTCAAGTTCATGTGGGACATCCTCCAAGAGAGGTCACATAGTGAGTGAATTAAAAAACAAATCCAAATACATTTTAGAAGACTGAAGTCAGATAACATTTGTTTTCTTACTACAACAAAATTAAGGATCCACAAGAAAATTTGCACAAACCTCAAACATTTGGAAATGAAACCACATACTTCTAAACAATCCATGAGTCAAAAAAAGAAATCACAAGGGGAATTAAAATATATTTGGAACTGAATGGGAATGAAAACACAGTATATCAAAATCCATAGGTTGCATTAAATAAGGATACAAAAGTATGTATTTTCTGCTTTGAAAAAGTATATCAGAAAAGAAAAAAGGTCTACAATCAATAATTTTTTCCTTAAGAAACTATAAACAAGCTGGACTTGGTGGCACATGCCTGTAATCCCATCTATTTGGGAGGCTGAGGCAGGGTTGTAAGTTTGAAGCCAGACTGAGAAATGGAGGGTGCCTCAAACCAACAACAAAAAAGCAATGTGCTTCCTGGAAGTGTAACTCAGTGGCAGAGGGCCCCTGGGCTTGATCCGTAGTCATGGGGGAGGAGAGAAACTGTACCTGGAAGAAGGCGGGAAATAATCAATTTTAGAGCAGAAATCCATGGACTCAAGCTTCCTTAYCCCATAGAGAACAATCAATGAAACCAAAAGTTGTTTCTTTGAAAATATCAACAAAACTGACAGGTAGTTAGCAAATCTGACAAAATAAGAGAAGACATGAACTATCAAAACCCAGGAATGAAAGAATGGCATCACTACGAACCCTAAAGAAACAAAAAGGGACTTATGAGAAGGTTATGAACAATTATACCCTCAACTTAGACAACCTTGATGAAATGTACACATTCCTAGGAAGATGCAAATCTCCAAACTGACTGCAGAAGAAATAGAAAAAGTGGAGGGGCTGGGGATGTGGCTCAAGAGGTAGCGCGCTCGCCTGGCATGCGAGCGGCCCAGGTTCGATCCTCAGCACCACATACAAACAAAGATGTTGTGTCCGCCGAGAACTAAAAAATAAATAAATATTTAAAAAAAAAAAAA